ATACATTGTTCATATTTAACATCAATGCAAATGTCAACCCAGTGACAGAAGCAACTGGCATCAAAACATTATCATAAAAATATTTACAATCTTGTAGACCCCAGAAAGAGTGTTGGGACCCTTAGGGGTCCACAAACAACACCTAAAAACTACCATTACTTACAGACTCTGAATATATGAATGTGATATGCATGAATGTCAGGAAAGGAAATCTAACATTTCTTTGTGGCTGTATAATTTATGAGGCATTAAATGCCTCTCAGCCTCTCAGGAATAATGACACTTTTGTTCTTTAACTGCATGCATTTTCTTTAGAACCAGGCATTCTACCTGAAGCCACAGGTTGGGACTTGTGACGAAACCACCCTCAGAATCTGATGGTAATTTTCTGAAAACCATGATTCTGAGATTTGAAAAGTGGTGACAGAAGCTTCAAAGAAAAAGACTAATATACTTTTAGGAGTTCACTAACAGAGACACAAAAAAGTTTTAGCATTTCATGAAACTCTTTTGTCCAATCCCTTAAGGTTTCACTATTTATGTTGTTTGTTTTTTTCAAAGTTCCTCGATGTCTTGCTTTAACTGTGAGGACATTTACACATATATAATTTATGACACTGTCCTAGACTAAGTGCTTCTAGCATCATCCCAGCACACTATCATCATCTTCTCTAATTTATTGTTCCACATCAAAACTTTCACACATCGATGTAAGTTTTCTTATAAACATTGATGTTAAGTTCCAATAATATATTTTAACTTTCGTATATATTTTATGTTGTAAACTGCTGTTCTATTTTTCTTCATTGTATAATAACATGAAATGTCATTTGCTTGCACTGCTACTACCACAGCTGGAATGTTTTAGTGCATTCATATTGTAGTGTATCAAAAAAGAATGGCACTCTCTTCCCCACTCTAGGCTTTAATCACAGCTATAATTCATCTCTTATTCCTGGTGGAGGTACCTAAAATGTATATCTTCTTATGAAAAATAATTTTCATAGTGAATTCATTTTTAATATGAAATCAAAGCCACTATTATACATAAAGCTTTGCATAAATAAATAATTAAATATACCTCTCAGTCAGAAAGAAGCAAAATCTGTAACAGCTTTGGGAATAAGAATATAAACTCTAGGCAGAGAGAGGAAATCCACAATCAAAATAATTATTTAATCTTGTGCCAGAACAAATTTTCTTCCACCTGCTAATCTACAGCTATACATCCTTAGGCTTCTAAAGTATAAATTAAAAATATGTGAAATTTACTCATAATTTACAAACTAAAACCTCAATTGTATTAGAAAATTACTTTTCCAACTTTTTATTCTGGTAAGTTCTTAAAATCATATGGGTACATGTCAAAACTCATTCACAGAAATGAAACTGAGAAATTATTAAATTATCCTAATAGCTTTAAAACAATATTGTGGTTCACATGAAAAAGCACATAAAGTTTGATTATTTTCAAATGGCAGAAGGCTAAGAAGGTACTGTTGATACAGTTTGGGCACCCAGAAACCAACTTATAATTCCCAAACAACTCAATCAAACTTTGTAATTGAATCTATCAAATTCTTGACTGAAATCAAGCTGAATTTTCCTCCCAGATCGATTAAAATGAAGCATTGTTTAAAACTAAAACATTTCTGAAACATGTTAGGTTCCAGAGATATAAAAATAATTCTGAAGTGGAAAAACAATTTTTGCTTCAAATTAATGATTTACATGTGGAAACATCAATAATTCCATTAAAGAAAAGAGGAGTTAACTTGAAAGCATAGGTCAAGCTCTTCTCCTTTTTATATTTTGAGTTGAACCCACAAATATATCACCATTCCCATTCAGAATACCATTGAAATAACTAAACAAAATGTACATATTTTGTACATGTGCAGTAATAGAAAAAAATGACATCCAGGGATCAAAAAATACTGATACATTTTTTGAAAATATGAAGATAAGATAGTAGGAGAAGCCAAGCTAAATCATTCTCTTCTACACTTCATGCTTAGAAAAGTGAACAGGTATAGCCATCAAAGATGCTAAGACCCCGTAGCACAGAGAAGCAGAGGTTCAGAGAGTAGAGATAGGATGTCAATTTGCTGTTGTGCAATAATCCACTAAATGTTGTGCCAGGGTGCCTCTTAAATACATCTTAAAATGCATCACTCCTAGTAGGTAATCCCTCCCTCAGGTCATCTATTCCACAAGGGCTAGATCAAGTGTTTCTATTCTAATGTACTGAAATAGGCATGAGTGATGGAATACCCATTCTGAGATGAAATTATAAAGATTGACTTCCACCTTGCTACCATGTATAATTCTGCCTTTGGCCCTCCCATTCTGTCAAACCTGTGCTTCTATCCTTAACAGATCTTTCCTATAACCCTCCTGCTTCCAAAGTTACATCAGTTTTATGACTACAATGGAACCACTTGGACTTTTCAGCAAAATCTCCCAATCTCAAGATCCTAAATTTAATCACATCTGCATAGCCCTTCTTATCAGGTGGTGCAGCATATTCACAGTTTCCAGGGATAAAGATGTAGACAACTTTAGGTCAAGGGCAGGCATTACTCTGCCCACTACACTCAGCTTCCTATGATTGGCCTGCTCTTTCCTATCCAAACAACTACCCCCTGATACACATACACACTCTACACTATGGCCAAATGGGCTCTTCTGTATTTTAAATGTACCAAAGTTTTTCCCAACTGAAGGACTTCTGCTTGCTGTTCCTCCTATCTCAAACCTCTGCTTCCAGGTCTTTAAGAATTACTGCTTACCATTAGGTCTCCAGTAAGATGTCACCCCTTCAAAGAGGTCTTCTGTGATCCTGTATTTCACATCACCCTCTGCTTTCACAATACTTATCACTATAGACATTATCTTGTTCATATTTTTACTTCTTTGATATAAGTTCAGTGGCAAAAGAAGGCACTTGTTTATCATACTCATGCTATATGCAGAGGTTCTAGAATAGTGCAAAAGACTTAGTATGTACTCAAATATTTGCCAAATAAATCAAGCAGAATAAAAAAAAGCTTGGAGTTTTCTTTTAGTGAGAGAAGGAAGTGTCTAGGAAAAATCTAATATTTCTATGAGAACTGGAGGAATGATATTATTCTTTATTGAAATGTAGAATGCTGAAGGAAAAATATCAAATTTGGGGACAGGGGCTTTAGTTTTAGGTACATGCCTGGTAAGGCTCTGTGAGACATCCAATAGAAGAAGAAGAATATGTCACTAATTACATAGGCCTGACTTTCAAAATAAAGACCAAAACTGATGGTAGAATGAACACAGATAGGTCATTATTCCTAATACACAGGATAAGAAGATTCTTAGCTACAGATGCTAAGAACATTCCTAGCTACAGAGACTAAGAAGTGAGGCCATGAATAATTAATAGGCATATGTTTGCCTGGGGACATGACTCAATAAGGAGCACAAGCCTAGCCATTCCAAGGCTGTGGTCAAACTCCAGGACCACAGAAAGGGGTTAGCTAAGTAATGGTCCCTCTAAAGATGCATCCTAATTTCCCCAAATCTGTGAATATGTTTCCTTATATGTTAAGGGCTTTGCAAATGTTGCTTTAAAATAAAGGTATTTATTTTAAAATAAAGATATTAAGATGAAAAAATTGTCCTGAATTACCAAGGTGAGCCCATTGTAACTACCAGGTTCAAATAAGAAGATCCTTGACACAGGAATATTAGAGGCTATGTAACATTGTAAGCAGAGAGAGGAAAAAAACCAATGTGACACAGGGCCCAAGTCAAGGATGGAGACAGCCACTAGAAGCTGGAGAAGTCCATAAATCTCCCTGGAAGATCCAGAAGAAACAAGTCTAATGGCACCTATGTCTGAGTCCAGTGAGACTTCTTACTTCTAGACAATCAGAGAAACATGAAGTTTACTCCAGTAGGAAAATGATACAGATCGCTGTATCGTTCTCACTGATTTGTGCCTCAGTGAAGTCTCAATATGTCCTGTGCAATAATTCTTAGTATTTTCTACTACATTTATATCTACGTAACTTACAGTTTCTGCTACTATTATAAATAGGGGTAAAATGTATTTTGAAGTTCACTCTCTGATGGTTGTTGATATCTAAACACAAATGACTTTGTATAGTGATGCTGCAGCCAGCCACCCAGTGCTGAGCTCTCTAATAAGAGTCTGTGAATTCTGTTCAGGTTTCCTCTGGAGAGGCAGCATAGTCCCAGTCCCAAAGCTGTAGCCTTAGACCTGCTCTGCACAGAGTAGGTGTGTGGTAAGCTCCGGCACTACTGCTGCATGTTGGATCTGGTTGTTGCCATAAGGATACCAGGAGGCAAAGCTCTTTGAGTTGCGTCAGCTGAGCTCGTGTTACTTAGGGCCCGTGTGTGCCAGCTATTTGTGCACTACTGCAGCAGAGCTATCAACCAGGCAGACTCATAGGCCCTTGTTCACATTGGTGAGGAACCCCTGACTAACCTACAGTTGGTTCAGTGCACCACCTGGAAGCTGCCCAGGTAAAAGATCCAGGTACTGCAGGCACTGGTGCTGTGACTCAAAGTTGCCCAATTGCAGTTGCGAAGCAAGTCCTCAGGTGTGTGGATGCTCAGTGTGTGTTTCCTGGACAATGCTTTGCTTGCTGCTGAGCTGGTCACAAAACACCTATTGCTGCACCTGGAGCCCTGCGGGTCCCAAGGCTGTGGCTTGGGCAATGGCAGCTGGTCCAGGGGTCAAGCAACCTGCCACCATTCGGCCCCTGGGGTAGGCCTATGGCCTCAGCTCTTTGTCATCACTGCATAACGTGGAAGAGACCACAATATCGGGCCCATTCTCCGGACCAGGTAAGTTTGATGGACTGTGGGAACTTCCTGGTAACTTGACCAGATCCATTTCTCCATGTGGTTGCCTATCAACTGTGAGCATGCTGTGGACATGTACCTAGCACCACTTGGGAAAGCACAAACACCACTAAGATCATTGACCATGTACCAGGATGGGCCTAAGGCCACCTGCTAAAAGAGAAGGCAAGGAAGCTATGGGTGCAGGAACCTGTCCAGAAAAAGGTGTTATCTTCTTAGGAGAAAGACTTGGTGAGCACCCAGTTCCTGGAGTCAATTTGCAGGGAGTATACTTAGGTAGAAACCTTACTTATTTTCCTGCTTCTCCCATCATGCTCAAAAGAGAAGTGGCAGTTCCAGTTCCCTAGTCCCAGCCATCACTAGACCTAGGTAAAAAGTCCATTGCATCAGGGGCTCCTCTTCTGCTTGTGCCCTACCTGCCAAACCTGTACAGTAGAAGAGAAAGAAATAGAAACTTTACTCCAATCCCCCTTTTCTAAGTCAAATTTCCCACCATATTAAAACAGCATCTGGGATTTGTCAGTTCCCACATAAGACACCTGATGAATAGTGCTATCAAAGAGAAATAGAAGTATATTTGCTAGTGATTTGTGTTTTTTATATACAATATAATTGAAGATTAACATTGCTTTTACCTTTTCTTGAAATTAACATATCTTATATTTAAAGAATAATTTACAAGCCTAAGTAAACCCACATACATTTAGTGTATTTGCCGTGGAATTCCTTCTCTGTTACAGAAATTGGCTTATTACTGGGTGTTGAAAATTATTCTGAAGTACATTAACTTCAGGTAATTTCCAAATGTTTTTGTAATGGAACCCCTATGGCAATTCAATATAGTTGCTAGTTGACCTGGAAGAGGGCAACAAGGGGAAGGTGTTTATAAAAATAGACTCTTGATAAAAATGTATAAAAAGGGATATGCTTTTCAATGCTAAGCAAAAAAGAGCAATGCTGGAGGTATCATAATACCTGACTTCAAATAAAAAAAACACTTTACTGGCACAAAAACAGATCTAAAGAGCAGTAGAACAGAAGAGAAGACCCAGATATGAATCCATACAGCTATACCCATCTGATTTTTTGATAAAAGCACCCAAAACATGAGTTGGAGAAAAGATAGCCTCTTCAACAAATGTTGCTGAGAAAACTGAAACTAGATCCATGTGTTTCACCCTGTGCAGATATTAACTCAAATTGGATTAAGGCCCTTAATAGAAGACCTGAAATTTTGAAGCTAGTACAGGAAAGAGTAGGGAATATAATGGAATTAATAGGCACAGGCAATTACTTTCTAAATGGAACTCAAATGGCTCAGTAACTAGTAGAAAGGATTGCCAAATGTGACTACATGAAATTAAAAAGCTTCTGCACAACAAAAGAAATGGTGAATAAATTGAAGAGACTGCCCACAGAATGGGAAAAATCTTTGACAGCTATAAATCTGACAAGGAATTAATAACCAGAATATACCCCCCAAATTCAATAACCCAATGAAGAAATAGGCAAATGAACTGAATGGAGCGTTTTCAAAGGAAGAAGTCTAAATGGCTTAAAACATATGATGAAATTATCAATATCCCTGGCCATAAAGGAAATGGAAATCAAAACCATGTTGCTATTCCACATCACTCCTACTAGAATGGCTACCATCAGGAATACAAATGACAACAAATGTTGGTAAGGATGTGGGGAAAAAAGGAACCCTCATACACTGGTGGTATTTGATATCTTTTAAGACCTTTTGTAAATGCCACAATGTACCTCCACCCAGCAAAAGAATTGAAAAAACAACTGGAAATAGAACTGGGATATGAATCAACAATTAGGGATACAACAAAGAAATAAAATTTGAATTACAATAAAGGCAACTGCATACCCATTTTATTGTGGCATTCTACACAATAGCTAAGCCAGTGAAACAGCCAAGATGCCCCACTATAGGTGAATGGAATAAGAAAATGTGGTATTTATAAAAAATGGGATTTTAAACAGCCACATAAAAGAATGAAATTTTGTCATTTGCAGGTAAATGGATGGAACTGGAGAACATCATCTTACATGAACTTAGCATGTTTTCTTTCATATGTGTAATATAGACATAATACTAATAGAATAATTACTTAATAGTGAAAAACTGAAACCATTCCCTCTAAAATCAGGAATGACAAAAGGATGGCCACTATACCCACTCCTATTCAACATAGTACTGGAATTCCTAGCCAGAGCAATTAGGCAAGAGAAAGGAATAAAAGGAATACAAATAGGTAAAGAAACTGTCAAAATATCCCTATTTGCAGATGATATGATCCTATGATGTAAAAACCCAAAAAACTCTACTCAGTAGCACTTAGATGCTATAGCAAGGTAGCAGAATATAAAATCAACATAGAAAATTCATTAGCATTTTTATACACTAATAATGAACAAACTTGGAAAGAATGCATGAAAACAATTCCATTTCCATTAGCCTCAAGAAAATTTAAATACCTAAGAGTAAACTTAACAAAGGATGTGAATGTCCTCTACAAGGAAAACTATAAACTCCTGAAAAAAGAGATTGAGGAAGACTATGGAAAGTGGAGAGATCACCCATGCTCATGGATTGGTAGAATTAACATAGTAAAAATAACTATACTCCCAAAAGCAATCTACATGTTTAATGCAATTGCCATGAAAATCCCAATGATATTCATCAAAGAGATTGAAAAATTTACCCTAAAATTCATTTGGAAACAGAAGAGACCATGGATAGCCAAGGCAATACTCAACAAAAAGAACAAACTGTAGGTATCACAATATCCGACTTTATATTACAAAGCAATAGCAATAAAAACAACATGGTACTGGCACAAAAACAGACATGAAGACCAGTGGAACAGAATAAATGACCCAAATATGAAGCCACACAACTATAACCAACTTATCTTTGACAAAGGAACTAAAAATATATGATGGAGAAAAGACAGCCTCTTCAACAAAAACTGCTGGGAAAACTAGTTAGCAGTTTCTGCAAAGAACTGAAACTAGATCCATGTTTACCACCCTATAACAGTATTAACTCAAACTGGATCAAGGACCTTAATGTCAGACCCCAAACTATAAAGTTGGTACAGGAAAGAGTAGAAAATACTGTGTAACTAATGGGTATAGGCAAGGACTTTCTCAGTGGATACTCAGTAGCTCAGCAACTAAGAGATAGCATAGATAAATGGGACTTCATAAAACTAAAAAGCTTCTGCACAACAAAAGAAATGGTCTCTAAACTGAAGAGACCACCCACAGAGTGGGAGAAAATATTTGCCAGCTATAAATCTGACAAGGGACTGATAACTAGAATATACAGGAAGCTTAATAACTAAACTGTCCTAAAGTCAATGAACCAATTAAGAAATGGGCAACTGAACTAAACAGAACTTTCTCAAAAGAAGAAATTCAAATGGCCAAAAAACACATGAAAAAATGCTCACCATCCCTAGCCATTAAGGAGATGCAAGTCAAAACCACACTAAAATTCCACCTCATGCCTGTTAGAATAGCCCCATTAGAAATACCACCACCAACAGGTGTTGGTGAGGATGTGGGGAAAAAGGAACCCTTCAGCAATGATGGTGGGAATGCAAACTAGTACAACCACTCTGGAAAAAATTTGGAGGCTTCTTAAAAATCTAAACATAGATCTGCCATATGATCCAGCAATACCACTCTTGGGGATATGCCCAAAGAAAGCAACACAGGTTACCCAAAGGCACTTGCATACCCATATTTATTGCAGCATTATTCACAATAGCCAAGTTATTGAAACAGCCAAGATGCCCCACTATTGATGAGTGGCTTAAGAAAATGTGGTATTTATACACAATGGAATATACTCAGACATGAAGAATAATGAAATCTTCTCATTTGCAGGTAAATGGATGGAACAGGGGAACACCATCCTGAGCGAGGTTAGCCAGGCCCAGAAAACCAAAAATCATATGTTTTCCTTCATATGTGGAGTATAGATCAATGGCAAACACAACAAGGGCATTGGGCTTTGATCACATTATGAGGTGAGAGCACACAAGGGAGGTATGCTCCCTTGTGTATCAAAAAAATACAAGATAGCATCAGATGTCCCAGTGCAAAGAAACCAATGCAGAAACTTTAAAGTGACAGAGGCCAATAGGAGAAGGGGACCAAGAACTAGAGAAAAGGTTAGTTTGGGAAGAATTAATTTAGAATGTAACACATCTCTACAGGAAAGCAATGAGAGTAAACTCCCTGTATATCTATCCTTATCTCAACTAGCTAAAACCCTTGGTCCTTCCTATTATTGCTTATACTGTCTCTTCAATAAAATCAGAGATAAGGGAAAAATAGTTTCTGCCTGGTAGTGAGGGAGTAGGGGGTAAAATGGAGGGGCAGGGGGAAAGGGAGGGAAGAGAGGGAGTTGGGGGAAGGGAGGGAAATGCCCCAAACATTGTATATGCATATGAATAAAAGAAATAAAAAAAAAACTAAAATAAAAGGAAGAAAGAAAGAAAAAAGAAGGATCTGGAAAAGGAAAAGAGAAAGGATAGGTGAATAGGTGGCAGGAGGCTCTGATCACAGGGCTCAGAGAGGCTTCCCCAGGGCAAAGTCCAAACCCAAGGACATGCTTTCAATGTGGGCAGGAAAGGCACTTTATCAGGGCATTCCCCCAGAGAAAGCTACTTCCAGGACACTGCCCCATTTGTCGGGAAAAACATTGGAAGGCACACTGTCCCCGGTTCCCAGGGGAACTGAGGTCAGAGCCTCCTACATAATGTGGGTTCCAGGGCCTCCCATTCAGGCTCCTGTGACCACCATAAAACAGGGGAACCCCGGGTTTTCCTCACGATTGAAAAGAACAAGGTCAGCCTCCTTATTGATACTGGAGCCAGCATCTCAGCTATTCCTTTTTCTCCCAGACCCAGGTCCCCCAAGAAAATTACTATTAGAGGCATATCAGGCCAGGCCCTAGAGCACTGTTTCATTCAGCCTTTAGCCTGCTCCTAGGGAGATCTCCATTTCTGTCCCAGAAACTCCTACTCCTTTGCTAGGGTGAGACCTTCTATTTAAATTGGGGGTACAGCTCTTTTTACCCCCAGGAGAGTAATTTTGTTTGTCCCTAATAGAGGAACAAGTAAACCCCACAGTGTGGACAGATGGACACACCATGGGATGGGCACGAACAGCTGTCCCAGTCCTAATTCATCTCAAGGACTCCTCCTGGTTTCCCCATCAAAAACAATATCCTTTAAAGCCAGAAGTTAAGGAGGGGCTAATTCTCATAATCAAAGACTTAAAGAGACAGGGACCGCTAATAGAATGCTTCAGCCCATATAATACTCCTATTCTCAGTGTTAGGAAGGGACCTAACAAATGGAGGCTAGTCCAGGATCTCTGCCTGATCAACAAAGCAGTAGTGCCTCTCCACCCTGTAGTTCCAAATCCCTATATACTTTTAGCCCAAATACCTCTGGGTACTGCTCACTACTTTGTCCTGGATTTAAATGATTCCTTCTTTTGCATTCCCTTACACCCTAAAAGTCAACCTATCTTTGCCTTTGAGGATCCCACAAGAAAGTCTGGACAGGTCACTTGGACTGTCCTCCCCCAGGGATTCAGAGACGGTCCCTACCTCTGGGTTAGCTCTAACCCAAGGCTTGGCAGAATGGCAATATCCACAAGCTACTCTGCTACAATATGTAGATGACCTCCTGCTCTGTGCTCCAAGTAAGCCTATTATTTCACAAGCCACTGAATCCTTACAAAACTTCTTAGCAGAGGTTATAAAATCACTAAAGAAAAAGCCCAATGGTGTCAGTCTTGTGTTACATATTTAGGTCTTGTCCTGAAGAAAGAAATGAGGTCTCTAGGAGAAGATAGAATCCGTCCAATCCTGATGTTTTCTCTACCTAAAACTCTAATTCAATTGAGGGCCTTTTGGGGGGGGTCACAAGATACTGTAGAATTTGAATTCTGGGATATGCAGACCTATAAGGCCCTTATATCAAATCCTTAAGGAAGCACAGAAGGATATCCAGCCCTCTACTGAATGGGATGACAAGTCAGAAAATGCACTCCACAGGTTAAAAAAGGCTCTTATGACAGCTCCCACCCTGGGTCTCCCAGTTCAAGACAAGTTTCAATTATATGTCTATGAAAAGGGCGGACTGGCCTTGGGCAGGTGACTCAGCTCTGGGGCATCACCTCCCAGTCAGTAGGCTTACTTAAGCAAAGAGTTACATCAGGTAGCCAAGGGATGGCCAGGATGCCTTAGAGCAATGGCTGCAGTAAGCCTTCTGGTGCCTGAAGCTCAGAAACTTATCCTAAACCGCTCACTAACAGTTTATACCCCACACGACCAAGGGCGAATTTTAAACTCAAAAGGAGAACTTTGACTATCTGATAGCTATCTACTTAAATACCAAGCCCAGCTTCTGGGAGGGACAGAAATAAATCCTGCATCCCTTCTACTAGTGGCAGAGGAAAATCCTGAACACTCTCGTGAGGAGGTACTTATGGAAAATTATGCTGCCCAACCTGACTTAACCAATCAGCCCTTAAAAAACTCAGATCTAGAATTATACACTGATGGCAGTTCCTTTGTCAAGAATGGTGTCAGACATGCAGGGTTTGCAGTTGTGACAGAATTTGGCATCCTCAATTCAGGTCCTCTTCCTCCTAATACAAGTGCTCAATTGGCAGAATTAGTGGCCCTAACAGAAGCCCAAAAACTGGCAAAAGAGCAGAGAGTAAACATCTATACAGATTCTAAGTATGCCTTCCTGATCCTGCATGCTCGTGCAGCCATCTGGAAGGAAAGGGGAATGCTAATGAATAGGAACAGCTTCCCATAGAAATAAGGGAGGTTACTTTAATAGTTTTAGGGACAACAGCATTAGTTGAAGTCCTTGCTGGAATTATCTATGGGGTGACTGCCAATCATGTAACTACAAAAACCTAACCAAAGTAGTAGAGGACACATAAGACCAGGTAGGCCTTGCCAATAAGGACATGCAAAGGTCTTTGTTGTCCTGTGCCTGTATGGTCATGGACCACCACCTGGCCCTCGATTTTCTTTTAGCTAAATAAGGAGGGGTATGTGCCATAGGCAATACCGCCTGTTGCACATACGCAAACACTTCAGGCATTGCAGAGGAATGTGCAAATTACATTCTCCAACAGGCTAAGTAGCTCTGGGAGCAATCAATTGAAACTCAGGTTTCTACACAGTTGTGGGACCAAATAAAATCGTGGCTCCCCTCCAGGTCTTGATTCCTACCCTTTCTGGGGCCAATAGTTGCCATTATTCTCTTGCATGTGCTTGGGTCTTGCATTTTAAACTTACTTGTCAAGTTTGTTTCTTCTCGCTTAGAATCCATCAAACTACAAATGCCTCTGATGGAAATGAAAACAGCCTACTATCACAATCCCCTTGACAACCCCTCTTGTGGTCAGCCCTGATGCTGCGGGTCCCTTTATTGCCCCCTGTCAGCAGGAAGCAGTTACTGAATAGACTTCCATCATCCCTATCCCTAAAAGCAGTTAGGGCGACCATTGAGAGGGGGGAATGAAGGACTGAAGGACAGACTGCAAGAGGTCAAGAAGACACTTCTCCTCCCTAGGAAATGCCCATTTTCATCTGAAAGGCATCTCCACCATCAGGCAATGCAAAAAGGCTATAAAACCTACTACCCACCCTGACCCACAGGATCACCAGTTTCCGGGTCCCCCTGCATTCTGCGATATGCAGTCTTTCTCTTCTCCTCTCTACAAATAAATTCTTTACAAATAAAATCTTTCCAACCTCTGCTGTTAAAGTCTGTCTGTGCTTTCATTCTCAGAGCAGGTTCAAGAACCCTGAGCACCTGAAATTCCTGTGAGTGTCATCTGTGCATCAGTTTTATGCTTGTTCAACACTATAAAGGGTTAAATAACAGAAACGCACCTTAATTCCCTAACGTGAAGAAACCGATGATGCAACTTTACCACTCTGCCTCCTGCATCTAAATCTAATTGCCACCGTTTTAGAATAACAGAAGAAGGTTTGCTTGGCTGGTGTGGCTGGGCTCTATTTACTGGTGAGGTAGAAAAGGTGAAGCAAAGATGGCCACTCTACTTGCTTTGTGTATCTCTGTTCAAATAGAGTGTGGTGACTTTTCTCTTCAGTGCTTTACACAGATGAAAAGTAAAGGGAAAAATTGCAATTCTTCTTGTTTGTGTAATTCTGACTTTATATATCCTAATGTCTTGGCTTCCCCCACCCCAGTACAGAATATTATATTTTAATTTGTGTTTCCATAGGGCTCATTTAACATGTATGTTCTCCTCTGCACATTTCTCTCACTTGGGGTGCAATGACCAGAATTCAGAAGGCATTGCAGCTCTTGGCCTTTCATAGTTTAGAACTTAACTCTCCCCTTAGCTTAAAGGATTTAAGGACAATTGTATCATGTGTGATTCAGAGTATTAAACTGAAAAAAAAAACCAAAATTGACACATTCAGGCAAAGCAGCTTCTGAGCAAAGCTATGGATTTTTTAAGAGAGGATTTTATTGACAGTTTTCTGAGCAAACTGAGGCTCAGAACAAGAGGGAAACAGAGGTTGTATTGCATGGCTATGCTTCATAAGAGTTTTAATACAACAGCTGAGCTAGTCATTCATTCAATCACTGTGCATGTATTCTTGTGCATTTGGGGCACTATTTTAGGAGATCAAATTTCATCAGCAAAGAAAAATAAATATTTAATTCATTTCTCAAGTAAACATATTCTTGATATTTAAAAGATCCTCCACTTTTACTTTCACTTCCTCATAAAACTGTTTCTCCACAAGATAGCTAAAAATTCAACAGCTTATACTTCATTTTGGATGGTAGTCGGACCAGCAGCACACTGCAGTTCTCCTGCCTTGCCAGGTCTGCACCCTGTGCTACTCCCCACACACAAGTTGGCCTCTCCTTCTGCTCCAGTGCTCCTGATAGCATCATTACGGAACTCAGTCACACGAAAAATGGCAGAAAAGCTGAAAAGTTTTAGTGAGGGGAGGGGTTAAAATGGAGATATTTGATGATAAGAGGCATTAAGAAGGCTCATATTTTCAGAGAATATCAGTTATGATTCTAGTTCCATTGACATTAAATACTGATATTTGAATACACTGTCACCTCTATCACTGAGTCCTGGGTGAGCTGCTGGGACCAGAAAGTTCATGAACACCTCTGGTCTAAATGTGCCACAGACTTAGTGTGTATTTCTCACTATGGACTTAACAATATCATGAATAGTCATTTTTTTGAGTCTTTATTTTTGAAGAAGTAAATCAGACTTAAGGAATGTAAATTATTTCTCTTTTCATACAGCTCGTGAGTGGTCACCTCCTAAGGTCTTTTTCATGCACTTTAGACTTGTGACCATCGTGCAAGTTAACTTCTCTCACATTTCAAACTCTGATTGATATCCTGTCTGTTTAACTGAATGTTTAGAAAAATGTTCAGAGCCCATGTCTTACCAAAGAAATCTCAGAAAGTAATACACATAATATCATGACTCTGTTTTTCTTTAGGTGACAACTGTATGCTAGACATGTACTCAGGGAATCAAACTTCAACCACCAATTTTATCCTTGTGGGAATCTTTGATGACAACAAATATGCTAACTTCCTCTACACTGTTACCTTCATTGTTGTCTTGATGGCCCTAGCTGGGAATTCCCTTCTTACTCTCCTCATCCATTTGGACCCCCAGCTTAACAACCCCATGTACTTCTTCATCAGCCAGCTATCTCTCATGGATCTCATGTACATATCTGTGGCAGTGCCCAAGGTGCTTGTGGACCAGGTCACTGGAGACCATACAATTTCCCCCTGTGCCTGTGGGATCCAAATGTTCTTCTACCTGACCCTGGCTGGAGCTGAATTTTTTCTCCTATCCTCCATGGCCTGTGACAGATATGCTGCAATTTGCAGACCACTCCATTACCCACTGCTGATGAACCAAAGGGTCTGACAGCTCCTGGTGACTGGATGCTGGGTCCTGGGCACAGTTGATGGTTTGTTGCTCACCCCCATTACCATGAGTTTCCCCTTTTGTCAGTCCAGGAAAATCCTGAGCTTCTTCTGTGAGGCTCCTGCCCTGCTGAAGCTCTCTTGCTCTAACATTTCCCTGTACAAGATGCTCATGTACCTGTGCCGTGTCCTCATGCTCCTTGTCCCCATCATGGTCATCTCCAGTTCATACACCCTCATACTGCACCTCATCCACAAGATGAACTCACCCGAGGGCCGCAGGAAGGCATTTGCCACCTGCTCCTCCCACATGATGGTAGTACTGCTCTTCTTTGGTGCTGCAGTCCACACCTACATGCTCCCCAGTTCTTACCACACAGCACAGCAAGACAATGATGGCATCTGCCTTCTACACCATCATCACCCCTGTGCTGAACCCCCTCATTTACAGCCTCCACAACAAAGATGTCAGAAGGACTCTCAGCAGTGCCATTCAATCAAGGATGAGTCCAAGGAAAGTTGCTAGTGGGAAAGTCTGGGAATAACACTTTATCTTTCCCTTCTGTCATTCCTCCTTCCCCTCTTCATTTGCCGTGGGGGTTCAGGGACCCTCAACAACACACTATTCACATTTTCCCTATTTCTTATGCATGTGGAATTTTTACCTCAAAGTCCTTTTAACTGTGCTACAGTGTCTGGCCTAAAGCAAATCTTGCAAAATACCTTTGTGTAATCTTCTTTCCATCCTGGCATCTCTGACTGCTTTTCTGTGAGACATAGGTGTACTCTTTACCCTAAAAGGAACTGTCTGTGAAGATTTCAGATCCTAGCAGAACCCTGGGAATATCTAATGTTCCCTCAATTTGCAATTTCCTATAAGCCAGAGTTCACATGTGACCTCCACAGGGTTCTTTTGTCTCAACAAGAATAAAGCAGCACAATTTTTATATGTTAAGTGTGTTTTGTTCCATGCTGGGACACATGCCTGAAGTCCCAGCTACTTGCTACTTGGGAGGTATAGGTGGAGGACTGGAATTCAAGGCTAGACCTGGTAAACTTAGCAAGACCCTTTGTCAAAAAGAAAATACAAACAAAAGTTTGGCAGTGTGGCTCAAGTGGTAGAGGACTTGCCTAGCAAGGACAAGCCCCGGGGTTCAATGCCTGCTACAAAAAAAAAAAAAGACTTTATAGTATAAACACCCAAATAGTATTTCAAATACTATTTGGCCACCAAAACTACCTGGAAAAATATCAATCAATATTACAGTTCCAGAGGTTAATAGGTTCATCTTATTTTGCAGGATGCAAATAAAAGAGGTTCCATATTACTGTCTTTAGGATTTAGATTATTCTAGATGATGGCATAGTATATTTAGACTAAACATCATAGTGGTCTTTAAAGACAATGAAGAGTTAAACTCCTTAGCTTTTTATCTTCTGATACTGGGAAAATCAATAAAAATTATTTTGGACTACTATATATCATGGTGCAAAGAAATGTCTACAAATCTACCAGCATCAGATTACTATTATTTTCATAAACAAGATAACTCATGGGTCCAGTGTTTCTGGAATGTGAGAAATTAGGAGAGACATACATTTGCTCTGATTAATGTGCAAAAAGGGATAGGAGTCTCAAAGTGGTTAGTTATTACCACGTGGCACAGAATGCTGGTTTCACTTTATTTATGTTATTCATTATACTCAATGAATGGACCCCAGGTGTTCTGCATCCTCAATAGATCAGATTAATCCTATCTTTACATGTCATGTCAACCCAGTACTCATTTTTCACTGAAAATTATTCCTGAAGTGCATGAAACAAATTTGTCTGATTTTGGAAACAGATCCCACCAACTTGGGCAAAAATATGCTCTGTGAAGTAAAAGCAGCTTGAGTAGACTGGGTAGAATTTTAGTTTTAGAAAACTTTATGTTGGGAAACCCTCTCTTGGGTTTTGCTATGCTAACATTATTATTACATTGTTGATGTTACTAGAGAAGTCTTGAATTATCTATCTGTAGATTGGATTGGATTTGGTTTGGATTTTGTATTCTTTGTTTTCAATGAGTGTTTCATTTATCTGTTTGCCCTCTGCAGAACAATGTGTAAAGAAAAACTGCAATTTCATTTGAAGTTACCAGTATACTGGGTGCCTGTTGTGATAAATTAGAATAATTGAAAAGCATTGAGTTTAAATGAGCCATTCTGGAGTTCCAGGAACTTTCACTTAAATTTATAAGCAGCTATGTGACATTTCTGAGCTTGCCTAAGCTATTGAAGTTTTCTCACAATACATTTAGGATGGAGAAAACTCCCTATCAAATTCTCTTCATGAGTTTGTACAGTAATAGGCACAGTCTGCCCATAGTACCTGCTCCAGTACTCCAATTTGCAAAGTTGCTATCTTCTTATGCATAGTTAAGAATCCAGCTACACACACACGCACACACACACACACACACCCCATATAGGTATATATGCATAAACATGTATAACTGGATCATACTGTATATATTGTTTTGCTGTTTCCTTTCACTGTTGTTTATTACATTTTTATAATTTATTCAAGTTATATCTGGATTTATTAATTTTCATGCATAGAATTTAATTACATGAGTATACCAGTATTTAGTAATTCTCTACTATGACGAATATATACACACGAGGTCTCTGGTTTTTAACAACTATAAAAAAGCTTCTATGCACATTTTTACGTTCAAAGCTTATTCACTAAGCCATGTGAAGGTGGAATTTTTTTGACTGTGGATATTGTAAGTGAACTCAAAATGCATGAAGTCTTTCTTAGTAGAAAAGCACTGAATGAAACATTAAAGTTAATTTGTAAAACAGAATAATTTTTAAAATTCTGATGGAATAAAATATCAAAATAAAAACAAATAATCTTGCTGTTCATGTTACTCACAAAGTTACTATTTTGAGTACATAAACACTTTTATATTTATAAAGAAAACCTTTCTACAAAGAAAATAAATACTTATTTCAAAACACCTGTAGTTATATCAATAAATACATGGAAAGTTCAATAAACATTTAGTAATCAAGAAATTCAAGTTATAAATAATGATGCCCCTAGCTAAAAACTCAGAGGAGAAGCACACAAAGTTCAATGCCAGTGCACATGATGCTGTAGCATAAAACTGAAGCAGCTTTTGGAAAAAAAGTTCATGAATATAAAGAAGTTTTGGTAACTGTGCACCCTCTGGAAAATTACCTTAGGAAAAATCTTACATTCATAAAGATATTCCTATTTTTATTTTAGCCCTATTTATAGTCTAGTTTGAGCACAGTGTAATGGTTCATTATTAGGAAAAGATTGCACTTGTGATATAAATAATTTGATGGGCATTAACCTCTTGAACAAGTTTCCAGTAATATTCAAACACCACATATGTCAAGCTGAAGAGTTTAAGTACAGGATATTGGTGTCAAAGGTGGCAATGTCCCATAAGGAAGTCCAGTGGACCAGTGAGGAAATGTTGTTTCCTAAGGACCAGGAGTTGTCACCTCCAGAGCTTGCATGGGACCCTCACCACTGAACTGATGGGCACTCTGAACTCTAAAGCTGCTGCTGGGCCATTTCCCTGATAATGTGCTGCGGGCTGGGGACCAGCATTCCACCAACGCCACTGAAACCTCCCTTATGGAGCTGGATGGGGCCTGAAACCCCTAATGATTCCTGCTGCCAAAAAATGACCCTATTTCTTTGTTCCTCCCAGTCCTCCTCGTGTACCCCAGGGACTTGGGCAAAGGACTAAGGGCAAGATAGCTACAGGCTAAAGCCCTTGAGATCAAAGAGGGCTGCAGCCCAGAAGTGTGAGCATGACAAATAGAAGACATTGTCTTGACAAAAGGAAGTCATGAAATTCTTCCACAACATGGGGAAATGATCAATATATTTTCAGAAACTACACGTGAAAAGAGTTCAGAATAATTTTCTTGTGAAATGCAAGAGGATGGATTTGGTTCTGTCTCCTTCCCTATTGAATCTCAGCTGCCAACCATGTGGGGAACACATAGGAAATGACTGCAGTTTGAAGGCAACATACATGGTATAAAGCAAGACATTTTTCTCAGTGATTACATTAAAATGGATTTTAAAATTCACCATAAACAAGTTTATATTTTCAGATTTTATTATAGATTTCACACCAGTATTTAAAATAAGAAAACATTAAAATTGAATGCAACAGTAGAGCAGCATAGATTGCAATTGATGGATAAAAAAATACAGTCAGTAATAAAATGAAGAGTGAGAGACAAAGAAATGAAGGAGATGACCTCAATTTTTATTTCATCATTGCAGTAGTTAGCAGTGTTGCCTGTGACACAGCAACTGAATGCACTATGAGTATCAGATTATATACTTACGGTATACATACTGTTCACACAAGTGATTGGAAGATTAAATAAAGATATACACACACGTATGTGTTAAGCATTTTGCTAAGGCTATGCATAAACTGACATTTATATTTCATGGATAAGATTTTATTGATAATGGTGTGATTTGGCATTATTTTGAATACCAGTTAAGATTTCAATTTTTAACAAAAAGTGAGATAAAAAGGACATGAGAAGAAAAACAAAACTATGTGATAGAGATGTATATTAGCTTATTTAGTTCTCTTAACTGCATTCTTCTTCAAAGTTCCAGAGGGGATTTATTATCAAAAACTTCTATCCAATCTTTTAACTCCGATAGTAAAAAGAGGGATGATGTCACTTTCCTACTTTTCTTACTACATGTAACCCATCCACACTCAATTAGCCATGTGGATGAGTCTGGCAACACCATTTGGTAGTGAGGCCAACCAGATAGGCAGACTGCATTTCAGAACCAAGAGGGTAATCATTGTTCTACTTACTGATTTGTTTTTCTATTACTTCTTGACAATATTTCCTTATTTATACTCTTTTTTTATAGAGGAAAATTTTCACATTGCATTTATTTACTGCAACATATTAGGAACTAAATTTTTTATTTCAACTTATTTATGAGCAAAAGGGTATGTATTCCTTCTGTGGTTATAGATGTTCCTATGATGATGCATTAGTTTTTCTGAAACTGAAGCTTTATAGAGGGAAAGTGACTGATTTTACTTCAAATAGAAATGTTAGCTGAGGGTCTTAATACATTAGAAATGAATGTCTAAATCATATTTATGTTTCCCTGCTGAACAAGACAGTGGTGTAAATCTACAGAGAACTGAGGCAGTTACATGCTCTGGGCTTTACCTTTGAGTTAGATATGAGTCTTCTCTCATGTTACTTGTGTGATCTTAGGCAGATACCATAAGAAACCTAGTTTATAGTCTGGAAAAGTAGGAAATAAGATTTGTAATTAACCCACATGCTCCTGGGAAAGACGAAATGTGGTAAAGCATTAAAATTCTCAAGATGCTGCTGCCTTTGATTAGAGTTCAGTGTTCTATACCAACACTTTTAATAATCCACAAGTTAAACATGCATTAAGCTATTTACATGAAATTGAAACTGGATAGAAGAAAATGAGTATGGACAAGAGGCTATTCCCTATGTTTGGTATAGACACAGTGCTCCTACTCCACCTGAGGACAGTGACTCCCATTTACCAAAGCGCAGCAGAGAGTTTTCCAATACACCCCCACTTCCCACCTGCCTCTTGCCCTCCATTCACTCAGCAAACAGCTTTTAGGCTTTCATGTGTGCTGGTCGGTACTCTATCCCTTGATCCACTTTTTCCAAATACAGTCAAGGCCAACAAGTGCATTTTTCAGTTTTTTTGAAGGTTTTAAAATTAAAAATTTTGCACAGATATTCGCCTGCATCTGCTGTTGTGGTAGGCTTTAATAAAAGAAACCTATCTAATTATCTATTGATTGTCTACCTGTGTGCCTGTATATTCTTTGTATATCATTTATCTGTTCATCTACCTATGTATCATTTATCAATTTTCTGCAATGTCTTAGTTTTTGGAACTTTATATTGAAGCATCTAATGTCTCACAGTGTTGTCCACCCCAAAAGCATCTCAGAATATGAGACTGAAAAGAAATTGACATCAGAATTGGTTTGGAGAAATATTATGATTATAAAATGTGTTTGAAACTCATAATTTTTTCTGAAATATCCCTGCATTATAACCACTGCTCAAGTCTTCCCAGAAAGAAGAGATATGATTTCTTTCCCATTGGTAAGTGCTACGAAAATTTTAAATTACTAACCCCAAACAGTGAAATTGGAGAAGGTGTAAACATTTCTCAGTAAGAGAAAATGTGAAAGAAGCTATTATAATTCTGTTCAGAAAGACCAGATATATTTTGGGTCCCTTGCTCTTTCTTTGTTACTTTGTAGCTTCTTATAAATTCTTCTTATACCACATTTATATAATATTTTCCCCTCCATAGACAGATAACTCTCTAAGTGCAGTCATGCTTTATATGTCCTTGATTTGTTTGCAGCATCAAACACTGTGGAGACCATGAGCATCAAGACCTAGGACAAAATAGTGAAGTGGTGTCAGAGACATCTCAATGTTGTACAGTTTTCCTCTCTGTTTCTCAGGGTGTATAAAATCAATTGTAGCAGTCAATATAGTAGAGAATGTTTGCAAAAACAGCCAGAGCCATGCCTGGCAAATAACAGTGACTCTCTAAATCCTAGTTCTTCCCCTCTGAGATTTAGTGCAAATGATAGGACCTGTAAAGAAATTATTTTGAAGGACTATCTGCTAGATGAAAAAGAAGAGATTTTTCTATAAAGCAATACTTTATTAGGGTTAAATAATATATTATGCATTTATTTATATTAATATTCTCATAAGAGCATGGTCATATAAATGCATACTTAAATTTTACACATATTTATAGAATATAAAAACACATCTAGAAATTTCAAATCCAAATTAATTTTTACTAACTTATTTTTTCTTGATGTATATTAATTGTAGAAAGTACTTTCATTGTGCTATAACTATACATGCATTTAGTGTACTTTGATCATATTTACCCGCTTTACTACACCTTCTTTTCCTTCTCTCCTGTCATTCCTACCTTTTCTATGGCTTTTTAATGTTTTATTATGCTATTTTTATACGTGCAGTAATGTACTTCATTCACAATCACCCCTTTACCCTATCTAGTCCCCTCCCCCTCCTGCTGGTTCCACCCCAACCAGTCTCCCTCTTCCATTCATTGTAATATTCTTTTTTAGGTCTAAATTCAGCATGAGAGAAAATGCAATATTTGTCTTTCTGAGTCTGCCAATTTCACTTAACATTATGTTCTCTAACTATTGCCACTTCCTGCAAATGACATAATTTCATTTTTCTTGAGCACTGAATATTACTCCATGTGTATTAACACCACATTTTCTTTATCTATTCATCAGTGGATGGGCAACTTCTTATTTTTAAAGTGGATTGTATGCATTATTTATTCAGTTGCACATATTTTCTCATATTATTTTGTAAATCAAATTCTTAAATGTTTGAATAAGAAGTAAAATTGAAGAGCTAAATAATAAATAAATAATATTGCATCCCTATCTAAGAAGCTTCTTCAGAACAATTAGTGTTTACATTATTAACCCTTTAATATCATGTGTGTTTATTCTTTCATTTCTGGCAGTATTCTAAATTTTCATTTCTTCATTTAATCTTCACTAAATTTGAAGGAAAGGATTGGAGTGTTGAAGTAGCTTAATCCCTGGATGGATCTGCCCATGATCTGAACTCCTCATCCCATGCCACTTGGGTCCTTAATAGTTTGGTTCTTTAGAATATGAGGTTAATATGAATGTGTTTCTTGCTCCACACAAGCAATGCCTACAAGTATGGACCAATCCTGTGTTAGAGGATGTTTAAATGGTTATAACTGATTTTTCCCAAATTAAGTTTCAATCATTTTCTCAATATTTCTTATGTGGAGCATACTTCTCAAAGTTTTTAAGATCTCAGCTGGATTCCAGCCCAAGAAGTTAAGACTTACTTCATATGTCAAAAACAAAAAAATTCAAAATAAGAAGTTTGACTTCACATTTTTGTCCAGCAATTCACTAACAATGTTAGCATGAGAGCAATTCTGCAAATTTTTTGTCATCAGGAAAATTCATGAATTTGAACGTGGTCCCCTTGCAAGGATTCACCAATTCTTTTGACCACAGATGTGAATTCATAATATTTTTATTTTTAAAAAATTGTGGAATTGCAGGTAATTTATACTCCTCAGATATACAGGCTCAGGGTACTTCCTCTGGCTAGTACAATCAGACATATATATACAGAGGTAGGTAGATCTAGATCTAGATCTAGATATATATGTATGTATGTGTGTATCTGCTCATATTATGTTAATCCCAAAGCTTTCTTGGTGGCCTAGGTGAAACTTCTGAGACATTATCATGTGGATGACCAATTACACAGGACAGTCAAGTTTCATCCTGGTGGGACTTTTTAGTCAGTCCAAACATCCAACTCTGCTTTGTGTGATCATTTTTGTGGTTTTCTTAATGGCTTTATATGGAAATGCTGTCCTGATCCTTGTGATACACTCTGACATCCACCTCCACACCCCCATGTACTTTTTTATCAGCCAGTTGTCAATCATGGACATCATGTACATTTCTGTCACTGTTCCCAAGATGCTCATAGACCAGATCATGAGTACCAATAAGATCTCAGCTTCTGAATGTGGAATGCAGATGTTCCTCTATTTGACACTAGTGGGCTCAGAATTTTTCCTTCTGGCAGCCATGTCCTATGACCGCTATGTGGCCATTTGCCATCCGCTCCGCTACCCTGTCCTCTTGAATCATAGGGTATGTCTCTTTCTGGCATCTGGCTGCTGGTTTCTAGGATCCGTGGATGGCTTCATGCTCACTCCCATCACCATGACCTTCCCTTTCTGCAGATCCTGGGAAATCCATCATTTCTTCTGTGAGGTTCCTGCTGTATTGAATCTCTCCTGCTCAGACACCTCACTCTATGAGATACTCATGTACCTGTGCTGTGTCCTCATGCTCCTCATCCCTGTGATAATAATTTTGAGCTCCTATTCATCCATCCTCCTTGCCATTCATAGAATGAATTCAGCAGAGGGCCAGAGGAAAGCCCTTGCAACCTGCTCCTCCCATATAACTGTCGTCATTTTCTTCTATGGTGCTGCCATATATACCTACATGCTCCCTGGTTCCTACCACACTCCTGAGAAGGACATGGTGGTATCTGTCTTTTATACTATACTCACACCTGTGTTAAACCCTTTGATCTATAGTCTTAGGAATAAGAATGTCATTGGGGCTCTGAAGAAAATGTTGACTGTGAGACCTGTCTTTCAAAGAAAAATAAAGTAGGAAATTTTAGTATTTTTGGTTTCTTCTCCTTCTGTCTACACATCTGCTGTTTAGGATCTTATGCTAATAATATTCCTCAGACTCTCACACTGTGATGTTTCACTTATCACCTTTTGAGGAATTGTTTCATCGTATCAATAAGTTCTTCATTTGTACAGTCCTTGTTCATTCAAAATCTTTTTCAATTATATTGTACTAATGTTATATTTTCTGAAGTTGGTAAGTGCTTTCTAATTTATAGGAGAATATTCATATTATTAGAAAATCCATAATAAGATATTTGGAGAAAATGGTCACAAAGTGTTCAACTGACATATAGAAAAAAAAAATCAAGAAATAGGAGCTATAGGGCCCAAAGGGTAAAATTTTTAAAATAGGTGAGTCTACATAATACAAATGTGGGACTTATTTCTACTATTCATTTTCATTCTAATTTTTAACAAAGTTGAAACTATGTACAAATAAAGAGTTAAATATCAGACTGTTCTTCCTGTATTGGGTTTCTATTTTATGCAGCATGACATAAACCTTAAAAACAATGCTCGTTTCAGTGTTCCAAATCATTGCAGATTCTACTGGGTTGTTATCCACTTTCATTGGAGGCTTTTTTCTGCATGGTACAAATCTGAAGGCATTCAGTGAGTGCTACATCCCTGAAGTCACCAATATCCTGTAATAGCTTGAGGATTCAAGACTATCTAGGAACTGTGGAAAAAATATTAATCCTGAGCTAAAGGAAGACTTCCTTCGCACAGGAGTTAACATGTGAGCAGAGATGAATTGAAGTATGTAACTTACACAATCAACTAGATGAGGGGCATCAGACACTCAATCCTTCATTTATTCATCACATATCTTCTGCTGTAGTAAAATAAAAATAATTGATAAGTGAGGTTAAAATAGGCATAGTACAAGTTACTTTCTCAAAGAAATTTGAACTGTAGGTATAATTGTATATGCAAATAGATGTTTTAAAATATACAAGTTGTTTTGATAGTTGTGCGCAAAAAAAAAACTGCTCATGAGTCTACTTCAATTTGTACCTGTGACATCTGAGCTCCAACAAAGAAGAAGTTGAGACAAGCCCATGCTGTTTAGTATAAAACAGTGTGTAGCAGTTCTTAGATGAGTGTTTTAGACCAGGAGAAAGTGCTTAGGGACATGAAGCCAAAAGTAGACATAACAAGAGCAAAGGTTGAGGGTTGACCAAGCAGGAGAGGTGATATTTCAATAACTCTTTCCTTTGTTCTTCACTTTGAAGCATTATTTTTTGTCCATTTTTTACAAATATGACTGAAATGATCAGAATTGTGTTTTGGCTCTTTAGCCAAAGAGAGCATGTGAATGGGAACAGTGAACTAAATGATGCTGATCTAAGTGAAATGAACAACATGAAATGGGAGAAGGGTGGGCAGTTATGGAGTAGGCAAGTAAACCTGCTACCTAAAACCCAAACATTTTTTAACTTGCTAAATAAAACCCATATCTAACATCTCTTTTTAAAACCTGTTCTTTTAACTGAGAAATAAATGTATATATTTATATGACACAATAGGGTGTTCTGACATACATTTATATTGTAGAATAATTAAGTCAGATTAAACCACTCATCAACTCACATACTTATTGTTTGGTGTGTCAAATCATTCAATGTCTACTTGTAGCAATTTTGAAATATACAAGCATTATCATTTCTTATAAACATCATCTGTGCAAAACATCTAAAGCTTATCCCTTCTCTCTTATTTTGTACTCATTGATTAACATCTATTCATTTACCCTCCTATCCAGACTCTAGTAACCACCATTCTCTTCTCTAGCTCTAAATGTTTGACATTTTAAAAGCCCAGCCATAGTGAGATTATCCTGGTCTTTTTGTGCCTGTCTCTAGGTTTGTCCATGCTGTTGTAAATGATGGGGTTTCCTTCATGTTTAAGGCTTATTGGTTTTCTTTGTATAGGTACATCCCATTTTCTTTATTCATTAATCCACTGAGGGACACTTAGGTTGTTTCTACATCTTAGCTAAAGTGATAAATGCTTTAATGAACATGAGAGTGCAGCTAGCTCTTCAGCACAATAATGTCAATTTCTTTGTTTATAGATGGGTTAATAGATCAAATGTCAATTCCTTTTTTTATTTTCTGAGGAATATCATGCTCTTTTCCATAAAAACCGAATTAACTTGCATTGCCATCAACAGAGTACAAAATGCTCTGCTTTTGACTTATTGAAACTATTACAGGAATGAGAGAAGAAGGAGTATGATTAAGAGGTGAATTCAACTATGATATATTGTAAGAATTTTTGTAAATGTCATAATGTACCCACAGCAAAACAATAATAAAAAATAAGCAAAAAGGTACTGCTTTCTCCAAATTCAGCAACCCTTGTAATATTTCACTGTTTTCACAACTGACATTCTAGCACATTGTGGTTTTACTTTGCATTTTCCTAATTTATACTATTGAGCAATTTTCCATGTACCTGTTGTCCACTCATATGTCTTCTTATGGGAGCAGTATTATCAGGTCTTTTGCTTGTTTTTAGTTAAAGAATTATATTTGGACTCTTGGGATTGGAGTGACTTATATAGTGCTACTATTAAAGCCTTGGGAGATAAGTAGTTTGCAAATACTTTCTCACATTTTATTGGTTGTCTCTTCACTTTCTTGATTGTTCCATTGCTGGGCAGAAGCTTTTTCATTTGATGTAATCTCATTTGTTTATTTTTGTTTTTGTTATCTTAGCTTTTGAGATTCAAACAAAAAACTAACAGCAAAGGACAATGTCACAAAACTTTTTATGTTTTCTTATAATAATTTCCCATATTCAGGTCTTACATGAAAGACTTTAACACATTTAGAGTAATTTTGTTTAATATGATGAAACATAAGTGTCTATTTCACTTCTTCTGCCTAAGGGAGTCCAATTTTTTTATCACCATTTCATTGAAGGCCCTGTGTTTTGGCCAATGTTTTTTCTTGGCTACATTGTTGAAAATTGGGTAGCTGTAAATGCATCATCTCTGGGATTTCCATTTTTTTATAATTGTGTTTCAGTTTTATGCCAGAACCATGCTCTGTGGATAATTAAGGATTTTTAGGAGGATCCAAGAACTGAGTTCCTGAGCTCCATGACTCCTGGAACCACTTTGAGACATGGGAGTAACACTTGGGTAATTCTGATTGCTTCTAGCCAAAAAAATAATGGCCAACATATTAGGTGCACTAAAATTCAAGGATTGACACTTAAAACAGCCTTTAATTGCATGACACAGTCAGAAAAATCCCAGCACAGCATAGCCAACATGGCGTTTCTATCCTGGGAAAAAGCCCCCTGGCCGTTTCTCCCTTTTTTATTTTTTAATTGTTTATACATTTATTTACATGTGTGTATATTGTCTGGACAACCTTTCCCCCTTGCCTCCTGCCCCCCACAATTCCTTCACTTCCAGACAGAACATGTTCTGCCCTCTTCTCCAATTTTGTTGAAGAGAAAATATAAGAGATAATAAGAAAGACATAGCATTTTTGCTAGTTTAAGATAAAGATAGCTATACAGAGAGATTCCTAGCATTGCTTCTATGCACATGTGTATTACAAGCCAAATTGGCTCATCACTACCAGACCTCTTCACTCCTTCCCAGTCATCTTCTCATAGTACCCTCTGTCATTTAAGATTACTTTATTAGCTTATCTACAGTGGGCACATTAACCACTTTCAAGTTTTAGGTTTCCATCCTTTGCCCTGTTCCTCCTGTACACATTTTCCCCTTTGTTTGTGACCCATGTACAATAATATTACTGCATTTGTTTTAGGTCTATAATCTGCATATGAGGGAAAACATACAATTTTTGGCCTTCTGGCTAACTTCACTTAAGATGAACATGACACATGAACATGACACATGAACATGACACATGAACATGAACTTGCACATGACAAAACTTCATTCTTTTCTGCCTAAGTAAATTTCCACTGTGTATAAATACCACATTTTCTTAATCTATTCATTGGTAGTGGGGCATCTTGTCTGTTTCCATAGCTTGAACAGTGCTACAATAAACATGGGTGTGCAGGTGCATTTGGAATAGCTTGAGCCGCATTCCTTTGGGTATATCCTTAGAAGTGGTATTGCTGGATCATATGGCAGATCTATTTTTAGTTTTTTAAACAAGCCTCCATATTGTTTTCCAAAGTGGTTGTACTAGCTTACATTCCCACAGAAGTGTATAAGGGATACTCTTTCCCCACATCTTCGCCAACGTTTGTTGTTGGTGGTGTTTTTGTTAACAGCTATTCTTACAGGAGCAAGGTAGAGCCTTAATGTGGTTTTGATTTGGATTTCCTTTATGGCTATGGATGATGGGCATTTTTTCATGATTTTTTGGCCATTTGGATTTCTTACTATGAAAATGCTCTGTTTAGTTCAGTTGCCTACTTCTTTTTTGGTTCATTGACTTGTGGGGAGTTTACTTTTTTATCTCCCTGTATAGTCTGGTTATCAGTTCTTTGTCTAAGGTGTATCAGTGAATATTTGCTCTTATGTTATGGGTGGTCTCCAATTTAGAGACCATTTCTTTTGTTGTGCATAATCTTTTTAATTTCATGTTAGTCCCATTTGTCTATCCTTTCTCTTAGTTGCTGGACTGTTGAAGTTCTACTGAGAAAGTCTTTGCCCATACCTATTGCTTCCAGGGTATTCCTTGTTCTTTTGTATAATAACTGCATGGATTCGGGTCAGATATAAAGAACCTTAATCTACTTTGAGTTGATACTAGCACAGGGTGATAAAAATGGATCTAGTTTCAGTTTTCTGCATGCAGATAACCACTTTTCCCAGCAACATTTGTTGAAGAGGCTGTCTGTTCTCCATTGTATGTTTTTTGGCACCTTGTCAAAAATAAGTTGGGTGTAGCTGTGTGGATTCATATCTCGTTCCTCTATTGTGTTCCACTGGGATTCATATCTGTTTTGGGGCCAATTTCATTCTGCTTT